GCCCAGATGGCCAAGGTGGCCAACAGCATCGTAGCTTCTGTCAAAAACAGCGTGTCCAGCAGGAGTAGGGAGGTGATCCTGCCTCTGTACTTGGCACTGGTGAGACCACAGCTTGAGTGCTGGGTTCAGTTTTGGGTGCCACAGTATAAGAAAGACATTGAGGTGGTGCAACAGATCCAGAGAAGGGCAGTGAAGCTGGTGAGGGGTCTGGGGAACATCTTATGAGGAGCATCTGAGGGAACTGGGACTGTTTAGTCTGGGGAAGAGGAGGCTGAGGGGAGATATTCTTGCTCTTTACAACTACCTGAAAGGAGGTTGTAGTAAGGTGGGTATTTGTCTCTTCTCCCAAGTAACTAGCGATAGGATGAAAGGAAATGGGGTTAGATCATGCCAGGGGAGGTTTAGATACATATTAGGAAGAATTTCTTTGCTGAAAGAGTGGTGAGTCATTGGAACAAGCTGCCCAGGGAGCTGGTGGAGTCCCCATCCCTAGAGGTGTTCAAAAAACATGTAGACGTGCTACTTTCAGGACATGGTTTAGTGGTTACAGTGATCTTAGAGGTCTTTTCCAACCTTAATGATTCTGTGAAGTGTGAGACTTGATTTGTGTAAAGAAGTACTTAGTCCAAGATGAGAAATCGGGCAGCATTTTTTATGTATAACCCCTTTTTTTTTCACTCAGATCTTAAAATCCTGCTCTTTTTGAGATGGGGCTTGCCATAAAGGATACAGGCTGTAGCACCACACTAATGGGAGGATCGTGGCATCCCACCTAAGAGATTTTGTGCAGACTTAGGTAAAGGCACTTGAGGCTGATAAAAAGAGGCTAAGTTGCAGCACCTAAACAGGTAGCAGTATCAGCCCAAATGTGCTTTTAAAAAGAGAATTGTATTTTTTCCTTGGTGGTGGTTAATTTATGAGTAGTAGATGACTGATCCGCACATGGTATTCTGACTACCTGTCCTAAGATGAGCAGAGGTCATCCAAACTGTTATACTATGTGACTTGATAATGAGAAAAGGAAGAATGTGGCAGATGGCACACAGAAATTCATAAGAAAATATAGGAAACATCTTCAGTCTGGAACACCACCATTTATTTGCTCCACTGAGTCTCAGTGATCTGACTGTGTAGTCTCACAGAAAGCAAAGTTGTTTCAGTGTCCTTCACACACTTTCCATTGAAAATATAAATTTTGGTTAGTATCAATCCTTATTTAAAGCCATAATGTTGCCATGGTCTAAGAGGTGAGGTATTAGAAGTGTAGATTTTAAGTTTTAAAAAAAAAAAAAAAAATTAATCTCTTCAAAAACTGTGTGGCTTTCTATTGGTGTCTTCTCTGCAGTAATAATCATATTAGTACTTCTGTGTCTCAAATAATAAATATTGTTTCTAATAAGTTGTTATAATTTTTTTGCTGAGAACCATCTTTTCATGTTCAATCAGGTATGGTGCATATATATATTTTCACATACTATTTTTCTATCATGTGTCTTCAAACACATATACACACATGCACACAATCTCTCATACTGTTCATAAATTGGCTAAAGCTGGTAGTGCCAACTTTAGAAGGAGATACCTAGAAGTGTTATTTGGCTGTACAGAACACTGCAAGGTTTGGATCATTCAGGCAGAAGTTTTCCATTCAAGTGTTAGTTTCATACTGAGTCTTTTTTTTTTAAGATAAGGAGAACTTGTTCTTTGGAAGAACAAGGTTAAGGGAAACTAGAATGCTCTGTCCAAATTTTTAAATCTGTGTTGGAGAAATTTAGTGTATTTACTCAGCCTTTGGGGGTGCTGCATGGTGGGGGCAGAAAGGAAACAGAACCAGAAGGTTGTTTTCTGTGTGGGAGGTGCTTTTGTTGATTCTGTGGGGAATTGACCACTTCTGACTAAGTGTTAAATCTTGGGGAAGATGTTTGCATGTGATTGACAAAGACTTGTTAGAGGTTTACCAGTTAAATTCTCATAGGATAACACCTGTTCTGCAATTATAAGCTGTCACTTAAAAACTGAGATTTTTTTTTTTTTTTTCTCTCTTGCTCTTACACAGAGGTTGTTAACAGGCCAGGTAAAGGAATATGGAGCAGTGAGCCTTGGGTACTGTAAACTCGAATGGGCAGCTGGCAGGCAGAGGGAGAGAGGAGCAAGAGGGCTGCATGGAGAGACTGGCTCTGCCTAGCAAGGACGAGGAGTTTACCTGAATGGAGCTTTGGGAAAACAGAGCCACAGGTTCTGTGGTGCCTGGGATGAGTGCTTTGTGAGCCCTGGGATGGTGATACCTGAGACCTAGCAGTCCTCTATTGGCAGCAGATGTCCATGAAATCCATTGGCAAAGTCTCAGCCACTTAGCTGCAGATGTGAATGGAAGAATACGTCCTTTCTCTTCTTACATCCCCTTCTCCTTTCACTATGTGTTTGCCAGCTTCTGCATGAAATGAGATATGGGTACCCTTGTTCTACAAGTAACATTGTTATATTCTACCCACGTTTGACTAATAGCAGAAGGCCCAACCTATACCAAGGATCCAGCAGGATGGGAGAGAGCAAGAGTTCCTGTGGAAGATTTGAATTTATGATTTTGTAACACAAGACTCTGTCGCAGTGCCTGTGCACTGTAACAATTTGTAATTGTTCAGGCAATCTTAACTGTGCTATTTCTTATTTTTATTTCTTATAGTATGAATGCTTGTTTTTCATATACTAAAAGCCTTTTTAATTCAGCTTCTGTGTCGTCTGTCTGCAGATAAACATTTGTGCATGCATATGCTGTGGTGTACATACATGTACACATAAATATCTGTTTCTGTAGCTGTGCTTAGACAAAAGGTTATGTTAGGCCGCAACTAGGAATAAGACTATTCAAAGATTAAAAATGGCGGTTTTTTTTGCGTATTGCTTTACTACCCAGATGGTTTACAAACCCAGTATGCTGTAGTTAACTCAAAGATATATTGGAATGCATGCCTCAGACATGCAGTAATCTCAGTAAAACCATACTATTTTTTTTTTTTAGGAATTGTGCCTAGGTGAAGGCTCTTATCATATTTGGAGCAAAGTGGGCTGGAGGTGTTGGAGGCTGTATAAGCATGAGGGTGGAGTATGAAAGGGTTAGAAGAAGGGGCTCTAAGAAGTGTGTTGCACACAGGAATACCTCCAAAGAGAATAGAAATAATTCCAAACAGATCAGAAGTGGAGGCGGGGTAGCTAAGAGGAATTTCAGTAATCAAAGTGCTGCAGGCTGGCATAATTCTGACAGTGGAAGCGAAAAGTTCCTCCCCAGAAGTATTTGGGTGGAAAAAATTAAAAAAATAAAGACAGTTTTAAGCTCTCTTTTTTTTTTTTTTCCCTGAAAACAAACTTCTCAACTCTATGAGTAGGGGGGGGGGGGGTTTTCAAGAAGAGGGATTCACTAGGTAGCAATAACTCAAAAAATGGAGGAAGAGTTACACCTTCACCTGGTCTAACTCAACAGTGTCTTTTTGAATCAGTGGTGGCAGTCATTTACATAAATTCAATAACTGAATTGCTTATAATGCTGAATTGAGGGAACTGCTGTAAAACCCAGGAAAAATGGAGCAGTGGAAGACATCCAGATCCATTCAGATAATAAGCTTACTCATTTTGTGAGAAATGAACTCCAATACCTCAACCATTCAGAGTTGTTGGATTTTATGGGAGAAGTTTTATTGCCATCTACTGGTCTAAATAGGCAGTTTTCTCTACTACAAAATCCTTTCTAAGAAATATTTGGAAAATGCTTGCTTACTGAGAAAATATTTTGACAAGATTGTTTCAGAATATTCCTTAGGCAAGCTTATCTTTGGCATGGTATCAGACAAGTCTGTTTGTAGTTAGCTGTGTTGGCATGCCAAGCTTTATGAAAGGGGGTTCATTTAAACATCTGGAGCCTGACGCACCCATAAATGCACTCCAATACATGCTTCACTTTGCAGGAAAACAGCCCTGGGAACACACAGAGGGTTTTGTACATGTGCTGTGCAGTGGGTATGTGCATGCACTTTGAAAACTGGAGTTGTCAACATTTCTTTCCACTTTAATCTTTCCAACTCTATAAAATTGAGTGGGACTTGAAAAATTTTCTCATAATTAGTCCTTCAGAATTTCTAATTACTTCAAAGTCCAAAAAAATCAGCAGGAGAACTTGAAACTTGGAAGCTTGGCTAAATTAAGTCTGACTCAAGTCATTGACAAGGTGAGATTAGTTTTTTTTATACAGTTATGAAGGTGAAAGTCCCAGTTCTGTCTTTCTCAAGCAAGATGCCCATTGAATCCATAATACCTTAATAAGATCTCTAGGATAAGTATCTAATTTCTCTGAACTCTAAAGCTTTTTATATTTTTTTTCTGAGTATTCAGTATGGAATTCCTATGAACTAGTTTTTCAGTTCTTTCCTGGCGGCATCCATACTAGCTGAAAGTCATTGCTGCCATATAACTCAGACACGAAGAATATTTATCTTCCAACCAATGAACTAAGTGTTTCTACAAGCAGTTGTAGACTTGCAGATTAGTGGAGCTCAAAATAAGGAAAATCAGCAGTGACATTATTCAGATTATTTAAACTCACTTCACTCATTTTGATGGAAAGAAATGGAAAGGTGACCTGGCAGTGGTAACCATATCAGTCAGTACAAAGGAGTCTACAGCCTTGTGCCCACAAGTACACAAAAATCTTCTAACACAATGATTAAATTTGAAGAAATAGCTGAAAAAGGATGTAGCAGCCACAGAAGGCCAGTTTTTAAACTAGATTTGCCGATGTGAAGTTTTAAACTGTGTATCATCTATTTGAAGTCAGATGACAGAATCACAGGGGGTTTATTTTTCTTTTCTCTGCAGCTCTCATGTTTATTCCTGAGACTACCATAGCCTGACCATCTTCCTAGTGACCATTGTTTGCAGATCTAACCAAAGCTTTTGTACTCTTTGTCACTCATGGTTCCTGGTTTTTTGTCTTTGTTCTTTTCCCACAGCTACAAGCACCCAGTGTGAAAGGCTTTGATTTTGCTAAGCAACACCTGGGCCAGCACAATAAAGATGATGTCCTGATTATCCATGAGCCAGCTCCTTTGCCAGGACCTATTAAGGATACTACCCCATCTGAAAACGGAGATGTGCCCAGCCCCAAATCCAAGACTTCCTCAAAGCCTTCAAAGACTGTTCGACACAGAGGGAGGTCAGTTGAAAGAGATACAATAAATAGTGCTAGATGACTATCCATTAATAGCTGGTGATTACTGTATTTTTAGGGCATTTCAGTGGGAAGAACTGTTCCAGAGTTCTGGGACTTGTGTTTTCTAGTGGGCTGTCAGAGTTAGGCCTCACAACTCATAAGCAAAAAGTTATGAGAATTTAATAGCCATTTTTCTATTAAAGGCAACATGCTCAATGAAGCAGCATACTTAAGACACTGCTAGGTTGGCCAGAGTCAAGTCATTGCTTGTTTAGTGGAAATACCCAAGTGTATGTTTTCTGATGCATTCTCTTTGTAGTGATCTCTAGCTAGTAGGGCAACAGGTGGTTAAAGACAACCAAAAACCATTCACAAATACAGTGAATTTCAGTAATATTAATACTGATCAATGCATGTGTGATAAGTTGGAATTTCCGGGAATAAGCAGACTCTCTGAAATTCAGGGAAGGTGTACGAGTGGCTTTATTTGTGATTAACTGGTTGGTCTCATAGAAAACTAGCTTTGGTCAGGAAAAGGAGTGATTTACAGCTGTGCAAGTGGACAAATGGCTGTCAGCCTTCAGCAGTAATTTCTTAGCTTTTTCCAATAATCAAATCATGTGAATGTGTCTTGCTGGAAAGGGTGGTGTTTGTAGGATAGGTGCTGTAACAAAGCTATGCAGTAATGA